TATGGAAAGATTAAAAGGATCAATGTCAATTCAAAGGTTAAGTATTAGCAAAACTTAGTTTCTTTCTTAATTATTTACTTGTTCCCCAATGCACGTAGGAATCAACAATAGTAACCTTGCTATTGCCATTTTCTGTTGACAAGAAGTGCGTGGTTTCTGTAAGTAAATACTGGAGGCTGGTTCTCACTGTTGGCAGGTAGGGAACACAGTGTGCTTAGCACAGTATTGTCTTGCTTCATGAGGTCATTTAAAATATTTTAGGCTAGTGTAAGGTGTGTTTAGGGAATGTTTTTAAGGTTTAGACCACTTTCCTGGTTTCTATCCTTTAAATGGAAGGAATGCCCTAAACTTATATCCGAAGGCTTGACTCACCATCAAATACTAGCTACAAAAAAGACTATCACAACCAGTGAGGAAGCTAAGTGGCACAGTCTGTAGAATGTTGGACCTAGAGTTAGAAAGATCTGAGTTCAAATTCAGCCTCAGACACTTACTAGCTATTTGACCCTGGGAAAGTCACTTCATCTCAGTATGCCCCAGTTTCTTCATCTATAAAAATGAGGATTATAACAGCACCTATCTCCTAGGGTTGTAATAAGGGTCAAAGGAGGTAATATTTGCAAAGAGCTTCACAAACTTTAAAGTGCTATACAAATACTAATCATTATTACTGTTATTATTAATAATAATAAAAATAAATACATTTATCCAAGCAGATAGCAAATAAGAATCAGATGAATTGTATAGATTGGAAAATGCTAAGCTATGTCCAAAGTGAATGAGCTCTCCCACTGGGAATTAGATATCTCAGTTCAAAAGAAAATCTCAAATCTTACCCATCCTTCTAGTCTCTAGGCAGGAAAGCTGGAAACCAAGGGCACAATTGAGAGGCTGTTATCTGCACATAAGTGACTTCAGAAAACTTTCTCTCTTTTTCTATAGGTCTCTTGATCCTCAAGAGATCCTAGAACCATGTGTGTCCTCTTTAAAAGTGGGAAAGCACTCCACAACTCCACCCCTAATGCAGGCATGCAGAGCTAAGCAATCATTCTCTCCTCCAATGAGGAGAGTCTTATGATGCAAATGTACCAGGCTTGAAAACTGGGTTACACTGGATGGAATGATTGGTTGGAATGAACCTCTCTAATAATTATGTCAGTGAGCGTCAGAAATCTAGAGGCAGGTGTCTTTCTTACAATATTAACCATGCTAGAACAGTGACATAGGATGTGGCTGTGAATAGTGAATATAATTAATAATAATGGTTAACAGTGAAGAGCTCTTTCTGGAGGGAGGCCTTGAAGGTCCCTTCCAGCATTAACTCTATGATCCCAGGATGTAAAGGTTGTTAAAAAATGAGCCAACATCTCCTTGATTCCAAGGCCGGCTTCAGTCCAGCACCGCAGGCTGTCTCTCACCCAAGAGGAACTGAGAAGTAGATTTCATGAACGCTTCTGCCAGCCACCTCCCTCATATCTCTGCTAGAGATAAGAAGTGCAGTCCCTTTTCTCATTTCATCTGCTCCCGCTGTTGATTTCTTTTTAATTTAGATGTCAGTAAATGAAGCCTCCCTGAAGCACACAAGGCTGGAAATTGAGGAATGAGTGGGAGCCTGCTGATGCAGGAGGTGACAGCAAGGTTGTGTTGATGTCTCACCACGAAACCTCTTCCTCACAGCGATAGATATAATCGCGTTTGTTTTCATATTCCATGATTAGCATAAAGAGATGCAAATGTGCCTGCTCCTCGGAGGCTGCTGTGCTGCCAACAAGTTTATTGAGTTAAATAGTTTTAACGGAGATATTAACATTTTCTCATTTTATTACAAAGCTGCCCAACTGTTCAGTGCCCTGCATTTTCCAATGACAGTTTCAATTCATCTTAGGTTACAAAATTAAAAATCATTATCTCATCCTTGGGTTCTGAAGGGTGGATATATGGCCTGCTAGGCCGTGAAGATGCTTCTATTAACTTTTCTGGTTATTAATCTGATAAACATAGAGACTGATGAAAATGCTAGGGAAGTCTTCCTTACTTCAACACAGTTCTCTTGTTGTGTTAGAGCTTCAGCCCCCACACACTTGACTTCTAGACAGAAGAGGAGGGTCTCTAGTGCTTTACAAAGGGATACCTGCTTCTGCTAAATGTCTAATTTGGTGATGGTGGTTGTAGGGGATGAGTGGGTTCAAAGGAGGGAATTCATGTATCCTAAGCTTAATAATAAGAAATACTAAAGACAGCTTCCCACAGCCATGTGCCCAAACACAGGCACGTGAATGGCTCAAGAAGGGGCCAGCTTTGTCTACTAACAGTTGGATTTGGACCATCCCAGGCCCTCTTGGGTACTAGAATGGATTCTGGCACGGGGAGATCAGGGAGGCAGGTGAGTAAGCCCTCTGATGTTGGGTCGCCAGATCATCGAGGGATACCCCCTGGGTATTCATACATAGGCCCCCAGGTAGAGAGCTCTCCAGATTCACAAAGTGGTGGATGAAAGACAAGAAAAGAAGATCTCGTTTGGGTAAATCGCCAGATCATTGTTCTAGGAGGCTGTGGGACCATGTGGCATTGGAGATATAAAGGGAAGGAATGAATCACAGAGATTCAAGAAGAATGAATCTTGGGGAGGCTGTGTCTCAGTAGTACTTATACAACATGGGTGAGTGTGGTAAAGTCATCTACAAATGATAGATAGAGAGGGGAAGTATCCCTAGGGGAGATGGCAAGAGACTTCTAACCCCCCTCCCTACCAATCTCCTAGAGGGACTGTGTTGATAGGGAAATTCCTACGTGTAGAGGAGTTTGTGATGTGTTTAAGAAGGAAGAATGAAAGGCAGGAAGGCAGGAAGGAAGCAAACGGGCATATATTAAGTGCCTGTTACGTGCCAGGAACTGTGCTAAGTGAATGAAAAAATGTTATCTCATTTAATCCTCACAAAAAACCCTGGGAGGTAGGTGCTATTATTATCCCCATTTATATTTGAGGAAACTGAGGCAGACAGAGGTCAAGTGACTTGCCCCGAGTCTCATATTTAGTAAGTGTCTGAGGCTGGATTTGAACTCAGGTCTTCCTGATTGCAAGCCCATCATTCTATCCACTGTGCCACCTAGTTGCCTATTTACAATAAATTGAAGTGAAAGAAGTTTGAAAAAAAATATTCTGAATTGTTTCTTATATTCTGGGCACTGTGCTAGTACCAGGAAAACAAACACAACTGTGAGAAGTTCCCTACCCTCCAGAAGGTCACATGTAGTAGGCTGAGTTAACCTCTCTAGGGAAGTGGGGCAGGGAAGGGAGTTTTGATCTGGATGGTCACAGGGATGGTGAGTGGAGCTAGTGGGCATCTAATTGTATTCCTTATCTCAAGCAAGATACAGAAAGGGCCAGCACCATTCCAAGAAGATGCCTGCTGTAGATGACTTTTTGGCAAAAGGTCCCTCACTTAAAGTGAAATGAGTTAGCTGGATTTGTACTCATACACTCACTCACCAGTCAGTTCAGCTCAGCTTTAGTCCAGGGCAGAAGTTAAAAGCAGAGTGGATTAATTTTCCTGGGATTAGGGGTCTGGTTTCTGGAGGTTCCCTCTGAAGGCAAAGTGAAAGAAATAAGAAAAAGGGCCCCAGAAATCACAGTTCTAGACAGAAGAGGAGGGTCTCTGGTGCTTTACAAGGAGATACCTGCTTCTGCTAAATGTCTAATTTGGTGATAGTGGTTGTGGGGGATGAGAGTAGGTTCAAAGGAGGGAGTTCATATATCCTAAGCTTAATAATATCTGAAATGTCTGAATGTCTGAAAATGTTAATTTAACTGTTGGTACTCCAAAGGACTAAATAATATCAATATCAATATGCTTATTATAAATGAAGCCAAAAGGCAAAGAGAGGTTTTAACGAAATGGTCTCCCTCTTCCTGCATTTTAAAACATCCATCCATCCATCCATTCATCCATCCATCCATCCACATGCACACAGCTAGCACAACAATAAAATAAAATTTCTCATACCAATCCATTGACTATCTGCCAGTATTTGGAGACAGTTGGGTGAAGTGTGTGTGTGTGTGTGTGTGTGTGTGTGTGTGACTGTTGGATGTAGACTCAAATCTTCACTGGCCACATACTCTCTGTGTGACCATTTTTGTTGTTGTTCAGTCATTTCAGTCATGTTTCACTCTTTGTGACTCCATTTGGGGTTTTCCTGGCAAAGATACTGAAGTGTTTTGCCATTTCCTTCTCTAGCCCATTTTACAGATTAGGAAACTGAGACAAACAGGGTTAAGTGACTTAAATTAGCTTAAGTTCAGTTAGGTAAGTTAGACTTAAGTTAAGTGACTTGCCCAGGATCACACAGCTAGTAAGTGCCTGAAGCCAGATTTGAGCTCAGGAAGAGGAATCTTTCTGACTCCAGGCCTGGTGCTCTAAGTACTTTGCCACCTAGCTGTCCCTTATGACTTTAATCATCACCTAGCCTCTTCTGTCCTGCTTCCTTCATTCGCTGTGATATGCTACACCACCTGCTCATGAGGAGGGTACTTTCTACTGACTCCACTCCTATGGGTCTCCATTCATTCTCCCATCTCCCGTAAAAAGGAGACAATAAACCTTGAAAGTCACAGGATGGTTATGATGTCCAAATGAAGAGATGTCTAGTATACAATACTTTGCTTTGATAAAGCTACAAGGAAAGGGAATCGATTTGTCAATTTATTGGTGTAGAGAACTCCCAGATGAGGAAACTCCCTCTACCAGCACAAGTCAGCACCCCTCTGCAACTTGATTTTAGTCGTCTGGGAGGTTGAATAACATGCTTTGGGTCTCACGGCCAGTATGCATCAAAGGTGAGAGATCAGAACTCTGGTCTCTGGGGCTTCAAGGCCTCTTCTCTTTCTCCATTAATTCTTTGCCTCTCTACTGTAATTACAAAGCACCATGGGGAGGTTGACTGTGGTAATTTAGTTCATCTAACTAACAACACTGTGCATTTCTTTCTGCTGGCCTCAGGAAGGAGAAAACATCTTCTACTTAGCGGTGGAAGATATAGAGACAGACACGGAGCTTTTGATTGGCTACCTGGACAGTGACATGGAAGAGGATGAGGAGGAAGAGGAAGAGGCGGAGGAAACAGCTGTAAATAAAGAGACTCATGGGAAACGTACCAAAAAAACACCACCAGCTCACGTGAAAGGTACTCACTCATTCAGGCTGTGGTGTGTGGGCAAGGAAGTACGCTGTCCTCAAGTCGCATTAAAGTCATCTCCTCAAAAAAATAGATTAGTTAACATTTCATCAGTCTGATTTTTTTTTAGGTGTCATGAATGGAACATCTCTCAAATGGTGTTTATCAAACTATCTTTTTTTTTCTTTTTTACTTATAGTCTGTGCAAAACAAAATAAAACAAAAAAACCAGCTAGGTGGCATGGGGCTGCCTCATACACTTACTAGCTGTGTGACCCTGGGCAAGTCACAACCTCTGTCTGCCTCGGTTTCCCCACAAGGTTTTGTTGTGGGATCAGATAATACTATGTAGTGACAGGCTCTTGGAAATTACCTGGCCCTGATGCCTGAGGCACTGCCTAGTATTGGAGATTGTCTGCAAGCTTTGAAGTGTTAGGTAAATGCTAGTATTTATCATTATTATTCCAATTTTCTAGATGAGGATACTGAAGCTCAGAAATATTAAATGACTTACCCATGATCACACAACCGGTAAATTTCAGAGACTGACTTTGAACACCTTCCTGCCACCATGTCCACTGCTCTATCCCTTTTGTAAACCTCTCAAGAGGGCCACACAATCTCCATGGTTGACTTCTTATTGACTGCAGATCACATCTACTTCAGTTTAAACCTATAGTCTAGGTGTGCCTACCCTGGAAATGACAACTTGTGTGACCTTGGTTAAGTGCACCATCCCTGAATGAACAGATTTTCTTCACTCCTCTGTACCGTTTGGAGGTGGAAGCTGATGGCTCCCTAAGTCCTTTTCAGCTTTCAATTCAATAAAGTTATTATCTCCTCTAAGATGACCTGATGGGGTATTCGCCTGACTCATATCCACCACCTCTAGTTTGCTAGGAGCACAGCCGGATTTTGTAGCCCATTTTTGGGGGCGGGTTTGGTATTTTTTCCATTTAGTTCAGATCAGTGTTCCAGGACCCGACAATAAACTTCTGAAGTCCAGGAGATGTTTGGATATTTCCAGAAGACACTTAATGAATAAGAATCAATTGATTTAAAATGTCTCTTTACTTTTCAAAATGGACTTGCTGTGTTTGATTGTTTACGTGAGATGACTTCAGAAATGTACAATTCTTTTTTGTATATGAACACTCTTTTCCCTAGAGAATGATGTACAGGGTATATGTGGTAGTTCCCAGCACTGGGCTCATAATGGGTGCTCAGCAGATGTTTGTTGATTGATAGATGACAGGAATGGGGACAGAAGCTATGGTGTTGTGGTTAGGAAGACCTCCTGAGCCAGGAGACTCCCTATTGTGATGCAGGTTGACTCTTTCTTTGCAATGTTTACTCTTCAAGTGTTGCCTAGAGCCCTCAGAAGGTAAGTGTTCTATCTGTCCAGGGCCAAACAGCCAGTGTGACTTGTACCCGGGTCTGCCTCTCTACCACCTATGCTAACACTGTCTCTTCTTCAATGCTTTTAAAAATTAATTAAATTTAATGTTGCGCACTGGTGCTCATGAAGAAAATGGATATTAATTTCTAAAATGGTGGGAGAGGGTCTGCCATCCAAGTCGACCACAAATAATCATGTTTCTCTCTGTGCTTCATTCCCAGATTCTCCAAACTGTAAAAAGGACCATGCCTGTCCCCACTGTGAATCCAGCTTTGCCAGCCAGGAGATCCTGGCTGAGCACCTGCAGATGCTCCATCAAAAGCCAAGTGAGGAGAAGGAATTCAAATGCAAGAACTGTGGGAAGAAATTCCCAGTGAAGCAAGCTTTACAGAGACAGTGAGTACTGCGCCCCGGCTCCTCCCCAGAGGGCCTTTCACTAAACTGTGGGAGTATGTCTTTCACATGGGTGGCTGGTTTAATGTAGCTCTTTGTCCTTCAGTCTCTGGTCTAGGCATTTACCCTCTTGCTTATGAATTAGAGTTTTGGATTATCATTCTGAAGGCCAGAAACAGGGCTTTTCTTGGCCCGATCTGTCAATTCTTGACTGATGTCAATTTACCATTTCTCGAGCACCTACTCTGTGGTACAGGCATCATTGGTGTCCCAAAGACAAAAATGTAAGAGCCCCTGCCCTCAAGGAATTTTCATTCTCTTAGGGGGTGGGAGTGAGGTAAGGATGAACCCTGGACCCAGAGGAGTAGCTAAAAGACATGTACAATTGTGAGAGGAAACTAGTGGAAACCCTGTGGGGCTCAAAAAAGGCACCTGAGCTGAGCCTTGAGGAGAGCTGAGAATTCCAGGAGGAGGAGGTGAGGAAGAGGGGGAAATCTGGAGTAGAATGATCCATCAGGCTGCTAGATCTCTGTCAGCTTCGTTTATAGTGAGACAACCAAGTGGCATTATACACAAAAAACAGCTTGTGGAGTCAGGAAGACCTGAATGTGAATCCTGCTTCAGACACTTACTGGCTTTGCGATCCTGGGCAACTCATTTAACCTCTCTTGGCCTCAACTTTCTCATCTATAGAATGATAAAACCATAATATTTTATATAAATAATATTGGGGATATAATAGAAATATACAATAATAGAAATTATATATAATTATATATAAATAATATAAATACATAAAATAGTATAAATAATTGTATATAAATAACATTGAGGAAACTGAGGCAAGCAGAGGTCTCGCAACTCCCCAGAGTCATACAGCTAGTGAAGTATCTGAGACAGGATTTGAATTCAGGTTTTCCTAACTCCAGGCCCAGTGCCACAAATAAAAACAGACCAGTTACCACACAAGTTTACTCTTAGGAAAGCACCCACCTCTTAGGCTGCTGTGGGGAAAAATGAGAGAACATTTGTAAGGTACATTATAAACCTTATTGTTGTTATTTAGATTCTTTGTGACTCCATTTGGGGTTTTCTTGGCAAAGATACTGGAGTGGTTTGCCATTTCCTTCTCCAGTTCATTTTAGAGATGAGGTAACTGAGTCAAACAGGAGTAAGTGACTTGCCCAGGGTCACACAGCTAGTAAGTGTCTGAGGCTGGATTTGAACTCGGGAAGATGAGTCTTGCTGACTCCCAGCCAGTGATCCATCTGCCTCAAGGTGCTGTATAGATGCTAGCTGCCGACGCTGCTGCTGCTGCTGTTTTATTGAAGAGGAGAAAACTACAGCTTGGTTTGGATGGGTGACTTGTCAATATTCACCTGCCGGTCAGTGTGGTAATCTGCACTTGAAGCCAGGGCTTTGAATTTCCATTTCAAGAACGTTTTTCCCCAATACCCAAATGCCTTCTTGTAATATAATTGCATTGCAGATGACCTAGATTAAAACCACTACTACAGAGTACCAGGACAAACCACATTTTTCTTAATTCTTTTTTGTATTCTTAAAAATTAGTATTGCTGTTTTTCAATCTTGGCCCAGACCTTTGATTTCATTGGTGCAGAGAACTCCTGGTGGGAAAAGCCTCTCCTCTAATGCAGATCTACCGCTGATCATATGATCCTTACATTTTGTCTTTGAGAGTTGCCTGGGGCACTGGGAGGCTAAGCAGCTTGCTTGGGGTTCCACAACTGGTACAGAGTCAGAAGCAGAGTGGGAGCTGAGATCATCGGGAGCGACTGCAAAGCTGATTGCTGAGCCATTTCAGAATGATTCTTTCTTCTTAAGTCACATTCAAGTGAAGTTTAGAAATGTCCTGGGTCATATATCAAGGCTATTGTCACAAAGACTCCTTTGCCTTCCATTTATGGGACTTTTAGCTGTCCTTTCATGAGTCAAAGGCAAGACGATTCAGAAATAAAAACTATCCTGCTGTTCAGAGGATGGCACCGAGAGGGAGACAGAGACAGAGAGAGACACACAGAGAGATACAGAGAGACAGAGAGAGAAAGAAAGACAGGAACAGAGAGGCTGAGACAGTTCTCAGAACACCCCTGGGAGGTAGGTTTTATCATTATCCCCATTTTAGAGAAGAGAAACCAGAGGCTGAAAGAGGTTAAGAGAGATAGGCAGAAAGAAAGGAGAGAGAAAGAGAGAGAGACAGAGAGAGAGAGAGAGACAGACAGAGACACAGTGACAGAGAAAGGGAGATAGAGACAGAGACAGAGAGACAGAGACCTTGGCAGAGACAGACAGAGACAGAGAGAGAGGAAAGAAGGAAAGAAGGAAGGAAGGAACGATGGAAGGAAGAGAGGGAGGGAAGGAGGGAGGAAGAGACAGAGAGAAGGAGGAAGGAAGGTAGATCAATTGCATTTTATTGAAAAATGGTTGTAAGACATGAAGACCCTTGCTCTATTAGTGATTGGAGCTTTCCTATCCCTAGGTGGTTTATTGAGCACTGTATGATTTGGCTTAAAAGAGTTCAGAATCTATAGGCTGATAACCTAGTTTGAGGACAAGAGAGGTCGAAGATCCAGGGCCTTTGGGTTTCAGTGGAGGGATGCTTTCCTCCTGATTGGACAGCAGCTATGATGGGAACAATGCTAGCCTTGAAGTCAGGACAGCCCGAGTTTGAATCTTGCCTTAGACAGGGTTGTTGGGGGGGAGGTCAAATGAGGTAACACATTCCTTGCAAACCTTAAAGCTATACACCTAATTATTATCATTCCCTTGCATTCAGAATGTCTTCCCCCCAGATATGTTTATTTTCTCCTTCTGCTGTTCATTTTTCTTTTCTCCTTTTCTCCTCAGCATCCTTCACTGCGTGGAGAAGAGCTCCCCTGGGGATTCCCTGAAGACTTTCCGCTGTTCTGTGTGCAATACATCCCTGAGCTCAGAATCGAGGTTTTGTGTCTGAGTTGTTGGCCTCCTGGCTCTCCTGTCCTTGCTGAACAGTCTTTGCATGCCTCTTTTGCACTTCGTAGGCTGTGATGGCACATGGTCAGACAGCCTAAGCCCTTTTCTGCTCGTCTGCTTTAGGTAATGCATGCAGTCAGAGGCCTTGGGAGGCTCCCACGTGGGGCCTATTCCTCAGGCCTACTGGGAGGCTGAGTTTGGTGGGTCATTCTTAACTGTTTCCCTTCGCCTCTCCCTCTCCTCTTTTACTGGCTCCCTATTCTAGTTTGGAGCAACACAGAGAGGTGTGCCGAGGGGATCCCCAATTCATCTGCAAGACTGAGGGCTGTGGAAAGAGATTCAGAAGTAAAGATGCACTGAAAAAACACAAGGAAAACATTCATGCTGGTAAGCTAAAATGGGATCTGCCCTTTTCTTGAGGGACATCAATTCCGGAGGTCTCAGCAATCTGGTTTCCATTGTCCTTCCCAATGGGGGAGTTGGTCTCTTCATTATCCTTCCTACCACTATGGGGTCCTGGAAGTCATTGTTTTCATTTTCTTTGTTTCGATCCATTATTTCTGACTGATGTTGATTTAGGCAGTTTCAAGCCCTCTCAGGGGAGATGGCCAGTCTAGGGAGGTAGTGGGTTTCCCTTCGTTGAAGATCTTCAAGGAAAGCTTGCGCAGTCACTAATTGGCTGTGTTGTAGGAGGGATTCTTGTTTAAGTGTGGGGCATCCTAGGTCCCTTCTGAAGATTCTCTCAAATTTGTCCTCCTGTATGTTTTGGAACTGAAAAAGCAAGCTACTGATCTATGGTTGAATTTAATGGACATTTAGCTAATTACTTTGACAATGAGGCGACTTAAGAATTAAAAATTGGAATGGCAGTTTTAATGGTTCCGTGATAACAAGGAAGCTTGGTGTGAATAGGTTGAAAATCATTTTTTAAAACTTTTAGTTGTTTTTCAGTCATGTCCAACTCTTCATAAACCCATTTGGGGTTTTCTTGGCAAAGATACTAGAGCTGTTTGCCATTTTCTCGTCCAGTTCTTTTTACAGATGAGAAAACTGAAGGAAATGGGGTTAAGTTGGGTTACACAGCCGGTAAGTGTTTGAGGCCGGATTTGAACTCAGGAAGATGAATCTTTCTGACCCCAGGACCGACACTCTATCCTCTGTGCTACCTGGGTAACTATTACTACACAAGAATTGCACTGGAGACATGTGACTCTCCAAGAGATGGCTGACTGGAAAGAGAGGTTGGCTCCCCAAGTAGCGAGAGAAAGGCGGTAACTAACAGCTAGCCCACATGCTCGATTGGTAGTCTTTCAATGTTAGAGGCAGCTAGGTGGCACAGTGGGTAGAGCACTGGGTTTGAAGTCATGAAGATACAGCCTTAGACACTTCCTAGCTGAGTGTCGCTAGGCAAGCCATTTAAACCTCTATCTACCTCAGTTTTATTACCTGTAAAATGAGGATAATAATAACACCTACCTCTCAAGGTTATTTTGAAGATCAAATGATATATTTATAAAGCACTTAGCACAGTGCCTGGAGTGTAGCAGGTTCTGAAAAAACGCCTGTTTCCTTCCCTCCATCAAGAGCTTGAGGAAGATTCCTAAGACAGTTTCTGCTTCAAATACTCAAATGCTGATTTGGTACTTTTATTAATCTATGATTATTTTTTCCCCAGGGTGTCAATGACTAAGTCTTTCTCTAATTGACATCCATCAAACTATTGCTCCTGAGTGCATATATGCATAAAACAACTATGTAGCAATTGAGTTGAAGTCAGGAACATTACAAATCCTGCCTCAAACATTTCCTAGCTCTATGACCTTGGGCTAGTCACTTAATTTCTCTATACTTCAGTTTCCTTATCTCTATAATTTGGATAGTGATAGTAGTAGTAGTAGTAGTAGTAGTAGTAGTAGTAGTAGTAGTAGTA